GGAATGCAGGCTGGATGGTGGGGGGCCAGCTGCTGGCTGGGGGTTGGCATGGGGGATTTTGGGGGGCCAGCTGCTGGCTGGGGGTTGGCATGGGGAAGGGTGAGAACGGATCCATCTGAGGCTGGAAGGGGCCTGGAGAGGTCGTCGAAGCCAGACCCCTGTGAACAGGCAGGGCCAAGTTAACCCAGAGTGTCCCTGATGGGGCTTTGTCCTTCCTGGACACCACGAGGGATGGGACGCCGCAGCTTCCCTGGGACACCTGCCCCGGAGTGTAAGTACCCAAGCCTTAGAAAGTTTCCCCTAAGAGCTAACCTGCCTCTCTTGGGCCCTACCACAGACATTTCGGTCAATTTCAGAGATTGGATCCTAAACACGGTCAGTTTCACAGCGCTCTGTTGGTAAACACGGTCAGTTTCACGGGATCAGATTGTAAACACGGTCAGTTTCACGATTCCAGCTATTTACACTGGAATTGTCACCAGATTGTAATTGTAGGGTCGTGACCCCAAAGAGGTCACCAGGGGGGGTCACAAGAGGGGGGGTGCAGTGCTGGTACACTTACTTCTGCCCTGCTGCTGGCAGGATGTTGCTTTCAGACCTGGGCGCCCGGCCACAGTCGCTGCTCTCCGGTCAGTGCAGAAGAAAGGATGGCAATACCAGAGCCCCTCCCTAAAATAATGTTGTGACTCCCCCCACCGCAACATCCTTTTGGGGCAGGACCCCCAGTGCGAGACATGCTGATCTCCCCCATGAGATCTGTATCGTGCAGAGGACAAGCGCACAGCAGACCGGATTTCCCGCCCGGGACGCATTTTTCACGGCCGTGAATTTGGTCAGGCCTTGTGCATCCCCTGGCTGTGGGCTGAGCCTGTTGCTTCTTGCCTTCCCGCCCACGAACACGCAGAACAATTGATCCGTTTATACCAGCCCGCTGCAGATTTCACCCGGGGATCAGCCCCCCCCAGCTGCCTTGTCCCCAGACTACACGCACCGGCCGTTTGGTCACCTTCCCTGGGACCCACAGTTGATCATTGCGCTTGCTCTCTGCTGGACTCCCTCCAACGACCCGGCTTCCCTAAAGCCCGGCTCCCAGAACTGGCAGGTTTTCCCCATCGGCGCATGGGGCAGGCACACGACACCCACCCGGATATTAGCCATTTTCTGATTGGCTGGAACCCAGAGGTGCTTAGAGCTACTTGCAGCTGGGCATTTGACTTTTCCACCCTGGGACAACGCTGCCTCGGTTCCCCCTGGTGTGCCCTAGGCTGGTGGTTCCCAACCTGTTTTATACCACGGGCTGACAAACCCATTCACAAACTTTTGGTGGACCGGTAACATTTTATTTGCATATTTGCATATTCATGATGCAAATAAAATGTTACCGGTCCGCCAAAATATGTACCCCAGCTGTGGCCTCCAGAGCTGCCGCGAACAGCTGGCTTCAGCTCTGGCGACTGCCGCAGCCCGGCAGCCAGCGGTTCGCGGCCCGGCACTGGTCTGCAGACCGGCAGTTGGGAACCGCTGTCCTAGGCGACCTGAAAAGGGTGGGTGTGACCTGCTCTGGAGAACCCTGGAGACACCCCCAGGCCCTTGTCCCCCTCTCGACGGGGTGGGAGCAGCAGCAGCATTTCAGGGGTACCCCATGGAGCCCGCTAGCAGCACTGACCTCCCCCAGCAGCTCCGGCAGGCCCAGGACTTGCGCAGAGAAGACTCCCAGGCAGATGAAGATGCTGGGCACCAAGCCGAGGAAGCCACGCAGGTTCTTGGGGGCGATTTCTCCCAGGTACATGGGCACCACGCTGAGACAGATGCCTGGGGCGGAGGAGGAAGCACAGGGAGGAGGTGGCGGAGCAAGGAATGGGGGGAGGGGAGAGAGAATTGGAGTCACCCTGGGCAAAAGGCAGCACGGCGTCTGCATCCCCCCAGCTCCCGGATCCCAACTGGGATGGGAATCATGGAAGGGGAGCTCCTGAGAAGGAACCATCCATGCGCCCCTCCTCCCAGAATGCCCTAGGGCTGGCTGCTCAGTCCCAGGACACCCCCCATGGCGGACTGGTAACATCCCCCATGAGCTTCTTTCTTTGATCCCCAAGTGCCAGAGAGAGCCAGGAACGGGCACAGCCCCAGCAGCGGGTCCCCCCCTGCAACCCTGTGTGGGCCGGAGCCGGAGCCGGCGAGGCACCCACGGCTCCGACTCCTGCAGTAGAGGGAGCGGCCGTGCTGGGTAGCGAGGGGCGGCGCAGGGCTGGAGAGGACAGCCGGGCGGGGCAGGGAGGGGCAGAGGGGAGCCCGGCCGGGTGCCGGAGCCAGGCAGAGCCCTGGGCCAGGGGGCGGCGCTGCCCACGCCGGGCGTTACCCGAGTGCAGCCCCGTGACGAAGCGGCCGGCGATGACCATCTCGGGCAGCTCCAGGTAGCGGCTGGAGCCCATCAGGATGCCGGCCAGGAAGACGAGCAGCGGGCTCCGCACCAGGGTCCCGTTCCTAGCAGGGGGCACAGGCAGGGCGTCCCCCCCCCCCGCCTGGCACGGCCCCTCTCTTCTACTGGGCGGGATGCGCCCCCCCCCCACTGCAGGCGGCTCCGTTCTCTCTACCTCCGTCCACCAGCCACCCCCTCTTCTCTGTACCAGCCCAGGGGGAGATGGGGACATGCCTGGCCGCTCTCCCGGCCCCCGTAAGAGCAGGGCGTGTGCCAGGCTGGCTTCTCTGCCCTCCCCCGGCAGGGCTCGGTTAGTCGGGCACCCCCGGCCGGGCACCGGGGCAGACCAGCTGCCATCGCCCCCTGCCCACACCCATCTCACCTCCCGTCTCGTCCCAACCGGAAGGGAGCCCACCAGTCCGCCCAGGGCGAAGACCGAGACGGTCAGCGAGTACATGACCGTGAGCAGCTCCTGGCTCGGGCTCTGGCTGTAGCGCTGGGACCAGCTGGCGTTGTAGAAGGCCTTTATGTGCTGCAAGGTAGAGAGACGGGGGGTTGGCAGCGCGGGGTGCCCATGGTGTGCCAGAGCCAGGGCTGCACGGGAAGGGAGCCCACCAGTCCGCCCAGGGCGAAGACCGAGACGGTCAGCGAGTACATGACCGTGAGCAGCTCCTGGCTCGGGCTCTGGCTGTAGCGCTGGGACCAGCTGGCGTTGTAGAAGGCCTTTATGTGCTGCAAGGTAGAGAGACGGGGGGTTGGCAGCGCGGGGTGCCCATGGTGTGCCAGAGCCAGGGCTGCACGGATTGACGTCCCTATGGGGTCTTGGTGCACATCTGTTACACACCCAGCTCTGGATCACGTCAGGGCTTCTCCTCCCCACATCCCCGATTGTTGGGCTCCTGCTTCCTCTCGCATGAGAGTGGTGTGAATCTCACTTCTCCCCACTTTCCCTCGCACAAAAGCAGTGTGAAACACACTTCTCTCCACTTCCCCTTGTGCGAGAGCGGTGTGAAACGCATGACTTCTCCCCACATCCCCAATTACTGGTCTCCCACTTCCCCTCGCACAAGAGTGGTGTGAAACACACTTCTCCTCCTCACTTCCCCTTGCATGAGTGGCGTAAAACGCACGACTTCTTCCCACATCCCCAATTGCTAGTCTCCCGCTTCCCCTTACACGAGAGCAGTGTGAAACACACAACATCTCCCCACTTCCTCTTGCACAAGAGTGGTGTGAAACACACAACTTCTCCTCCCCATTTCCCCTCGCACAAGAGTGGTGTGAAACACCCAACTTCTTCCCACTTCCCCTTGCACGAGAGCAGCGTAAAACTTCTCCTTCCCACATCTCCGTTTGCTGGTCTACCACTTCCCCTCGCACGAGAGCGGCGTGAACCATGGGACTTCGTGGGGCGGGAAAGCCCAACACTTGAAACACCTCCCCACTCCCTGGCCCCCCACTGCCGATTTCCAAATGGCCTGCCCAAGGGAATCCTGGGAAATGTGTCATTTGGGTCCATCGCGACCTCCTGTTTCAACAGTATCCTTCCAATCGGTGCCGTTGCTTTGTGGTGTTGACAGGGTCAGAGAGGAGCCGGGAGTGGGAGACGGGGGGGTGGGGAAATCACAGGGTGAGTCCCTGTTCGGTTCACTCCCTCAGGGGCACCAGGCCTTGGCCGCTGTGGGCAGGCAGGACACGGGGCCGGATGGG